CTACGTGGATGTGCACTGGATTGACATGGTTCATATGAGGAAGGACAATCACTGGGAATATTTTGGTGAGGCTTTGGACCTGGTGGAGCAATTTGGCACTGAGGACTTGCTCACGTTCCACATGGACTATGACCCAGAGATTGTGGCTCAGTTCTTTGCGTCGGTCCACTTCCATCCTGATGAGGAACGAACCATGACGTGGATGACCAATGGGCAACGGATGACTGCTAAGTGGAAGGACTTCATGGCACTACTGCATGTTCGTGATGAGGGGCTCAATTCGCCCGTTGGTGTTCGCCCTCATGCCAACGCCGAGTCAGCTAGCAAGGACAAGCTTCAGCCGTATCTTGTTGAGAAGAAGCTTGGCACAGACAAGAAGATTTGGGTGCTGAATCCCTTCCTTGACATCATGCACTGGATCTTCCGCAACTCCCTCTTTCCACGCATTGGTGACAAGGACAAGGTGCATGCTTATCTTGTGGACATGATGCTCATATGTGAGAAGGCACGTCTCCATCAGACGGAACCACTTGATGTCTCAACATATCATGTGGTGTGAGATGTAGTTTGCCGTGCTCAACCATAAGGTGCCTGTCTATGGACCGTACCTGCATCTCTTGATCTCTAAGACTTGGGAGCAACTCTTTCCCCATGAAGAGTTTGAAGCCCCCAACTGGATTCGCCATGAGCCTATCAAGCTGCACATCAAGAACAAGTGGGCTAACACCACTACCCGTGCTGAGGCAGAGGCTGCTAAGATGGACGTGGATGAGGATGAGATTGAGGAGGAGGCAGATGAGGACAACTCTGAAGGGATACTCGCCTTCATCTTCTGAGCCCTCTTGGGCCAAGAAGCTGAAGAACAAGATGAAGGCTTTGTTCTGCATGTAGGCCAAAGGACAGTACCAGTCTCATGTTTCTTAGAAGGAGAGTCGCCGGCGCGACAAGAGGATCTTGAGGACGTTCAGCGAGAAGGTATCAAGCGGGGCCGAGAAGCACATCACACCAGAGGCTGAATGGATGGCGAAGTAGGGCTACAAGTGGACTGAATCTGAGGAGGAGACCATCCCCCCTGCCGAGACCGATGAGGAGCGTGACGAGTGATCACTTCAGCTTGAGCTACCACCTGTGTCGTAGGTGTCCTCTCTGCCTTTTTGGTGTCTCAATGCCAAAGGGGGAGAGAGTGTAGGATTTGCAAGTTGTGTGTCATTGTGTCGTTGTGTCTTGCTCTTTGCTTTCGTCCTGTTGAATCTCGTTTGCTTTTGCTTGTTGGTTTGTGTTTGGTTTCGTTTGGATCCAGGAGACTATCATATGGTGTAAGACATATGTCCTCAACGTATCTTATTGTCTTCATATTATCTAGTTTGCTTAGTAGATTGTGAGCTTAGTTTGTCTTGTGCTATCATTACTTTATGCTCATATTTATTATCTTTCCCCCATGCTTAGTGTTAGTTATTTTGTTGCAAGATATGCCTCGTCTATAAAATATAGGGGGAGTGTTTATCCTAGTATGTGTGTCGTGCAGTCCAAAGCATTTCTCTAGAGAGCACACATCTAGGGGGAGCCCGTCGATATTTTATGGGTGTTGGGTTTGCCTATGTTTCAGTTTATTTTCCTATGTGCAAATCCTGTATTGTCATCAATCCACCAAAAAGGGGGAGATTGTAAGGGCATATTTATCCCTAAGTAGTTTTGGTGATTGATGACAATGCATTTGCGGACTAATCATGTGCATTAAGCATTTCAGATATCTCATACTTAGGCACAAGACGATTCGTTGCCCCTCGGAGTCTAGTGAAGACGAAGTTTTCCCTATGTTTCTTTTCGGTGGTTTTGAGTCGTAGGAAAGCCATACTATTAAGAGGGGGTCCGTGTTGGAAAGGCTTGGGTGGAATCATCACGTACACGTCTATATCTTCTGCACCACCTTTCCTTTGGCTCTTTGGAGCATCCTCCATTTTCCGTGTTTTTGCAAAATGAAGGACTCCTAGTGTTGTTGTGCTGGGGCATGAGGTATACTGCTCATGGGAGCAGTAGTACCGCAGGCCCTTGCGGTAGTACCGCTCCACGGGCGCGGTAGTAACGTGGCCTCAGGCCGGGCATAGCAACACGAGCGGAAGTAGGGGCGGATGTAATTTTTTACATCCGCGCCCTACGCGATAGTACCGCTCCTGGCTTGCAGTAGTACCGTGTTGGAGTTTTGCATAGATCTTTTCTCAGCGGAAGTTGCCACGGATGTATTTTTATATGTCCGTGCCTTCCCAGCCTAGACAAACCCTGCCTTGCGATAGTACCACAAGGGGGAGCGGTAGTACCGCTGCGACGGTTCTACCGCTCTTTGCTTCAACGCATCAGGACCAGTCTGGCTCCTGCCACGCATGCGGTAGTACCACAGTGCCCCGCGGTAGTACCGCATGGCTGGTGCGGTAGTACCGCGCGTCGCAGGCCGAGTTAGTGAATAACGCTTGGATTTTTCCTATCACTATAAAAGGGGAGTCTTCTTCTGCGACTTGACTACCTCTTCCACCCCCAAGCTCCATTGTTGCTTTAAGCTCCATTTTCGCCCGATCTTTCTCCCTAGACAATCAAACTTATTGATTCTCTAGGGATTGGTTGAGAAGACCCTGATCTACACTTCTACCAAGAGAAATTTGATTCCCCCACTAATCCCTTGCGGATCTTGTTACTCTTGGGTGTTTGAGCACCCTAGACGGTTGAGGTCACCGCAGATCCATATTCCATTGTGGTGAAGCTTCGTGGTGTCGTTGGGAGCCTCCAATTAAGTTTTGAAGATTGCCCCAACCTTGTTTGTAAAGGTCCGGTCGCCGCCTCCAAGGGCACCAATAGTGGAATCATGACATCTCACATTGTGTGAGGGCATGAGGAGAATACGGTGGCCCTAGTGGCTTCTTGAGGAGCATTGTGCCTCCACACCGCTCCAACGGAGACGTACTTCCCCTCAAAGGGAATGAACTTCGGTAACACATCCCCGTCTTCACCGGCTCCACTCTTGGTTATCTCGTACCTTTACTTGTGCAAGCTTATATTGTGTTACATCTCTTGCTTTCTTGAGTGCTTGTTGTTGTTGTTGTTGTTGTTGTTGTTGTTGCATCATATAGGTTGCTCACCTAGTTGCATATCTAGACAACCTACTTTGATGCAAAGTTTAAATTGGTAAAGAAAAGCTAAAAATTGTTAGTTGCCTATTCACCCCCTCTAGTCAACTATATCAATCCTTTCACACCCTTAACACCTGTACATGTTGGAGCATTGAGAAGGGCTTTAGAGCATCTGCAATAGTTTGTATGATAGATTTGTTGGTACAAGGTCCACGTCAGCAGCCAATAGTGTATCATACAAGTTCTCCAATGAAGCGTATGTTAGTCTGATGGGCCACACACATTAAATCAATGTAAAAAAAATTGATGGCCAGCACCTGAGAGAAGGAAATTCGAGAGGTAGCTGGCGCAGCTCACACCAGGTCCAGCCAGGGCCCACATAAATGAATGTAATTATCTCGGAGCTTGTGCCTAGAGCGTTGGTTCATGATCATACGATCCCCCACTCTCTCTTCTTTTATTTTAGGCTACCTCATCAAAAGAGTCTACATGGCAGATTTACCAATGATTATCACACGACCATTGAAGATGCCCTTAGGTTGTGCACCGCGACCAAGGTTGGGGAAAACGAGACAATTTGATGTTTATTCGCTAATTAATGTCATTGCATGCAGAGAATTGACCACTCCATGTTGTGCTAAGTAGTCTCAAGTAATTGAGTGCATACACACCCACGTCTCCTATTGGCTAACATTTTTTTCTAGGCAAAATTAGAAAACGAGATGGGTAGTTAACGCACCACGTCTAATAGTTTTGGAATTATTTGGTTTTCACAATGTTACTTATGCACTGATATGGAGGAAGTACCTAACTTGGTCAAATGTTTCTAATTTGAAGCGTGACCAAGTTTGTATGCAAAAATTCTACTCCCTCCATTAACAAATTTATAATATGTCTTGGATATTTCAATATGAACTACTTCCTCCGTTCCTAAATATAAGTCTTTTTAGACATTTCAAATGGACTACAATATATGGATGTATGTAGACATATTTTAGAGTGTAGATTCACTCATTTTGCTTCGTATGTAGTCACTCGTTGGAATCTCTAAAAAGATTTATATTTGGGAACATAGGGAGTATATAGGAACTGAAATGAGTGAACAAATATATTAAATCCTTTCTGTATACATCTGATTCAGAAGTTTTTTTAGACCATTTTTTATTTGTGCACATAAGAAGTACTCTCTCCGTCCCAAAAAGTTTGTTTTAAATCTGTCTAGATACTGCGATGCGTCATACGACTATGGTATGCTCAAAATCCGACGATGTACCTCCACCCTACTCCATCCGAATGAATCGATGGAGGGCGGATTTCAACCGTCGTACCAAAACCGTCATACTCCATCATTTTTAAGGCAATCATTTATCTTATAGGCATTATATTTTTTTATGTTTGATTGACCATTTTTTATCCCTTTATGTGGAGGGGGAGGGGGGGGTGGTTTGTGGGGTTTATCTATAGAATGTTAAACTAAAATGAATTCAACGTAACAGATTTCAGCAAGCACAAATTGACCGCGCACGTTTATCTCAAGCAACTGTTTACAGTTTTATCTTCATCATCAAACTTTTCCAAAGTTACGGCCGCCAATTTATTCTCTTCCCAATTAACGGGTCGCACCACTTTTAGCAAGGAAACGTACCGAAAGCAAGGAGTTAACGCGCAATCGCCATTGGCATCACGGCGAATGGGAGCCGGGGCGGCTACGAGGAAGCAAGATTGTATATAAACCCCACCCCGTAACGGCCCGGCTCGAGCCGAGGACAGGACAGAGACCACGGACCACCGCGCCACCGCCCCCCGACTCCCGAGGGCCCGGACTCCGACAAGCGCCCGCCCGCCCGCCCATCACTCCTCTTCCCCGAACCCTAGCCTCCCATGGCGGCTACCGCGGCGGCGTCGCCCTCCTCCTCCCTGCTCCTCTCCCGCCGCCACGGCGCGTCCTCCTCCTCGTCGTCGGCGTCCCGCGCCGGCGCCTCCCGCCTCCGCGCGCCGGTGAGCGTTCGGTCCCGCTCGTGTCCGGCCCTGGCTACGGGATTGTGATTCTTATCTTTTTGGGTTGCGCGCAGAGGTGCGTGCTCGGGACGGCGGAGCAGCTGCGGGTGGTCGAGGCGGGGAAGCCGGTGGGCGGGGCCGACCCGTGGGCCGCGGCCTGGACGCCCAAGACGCCCGCGCAGGAGGCCAGGCTCGCCGCGCTGCCGCAGGAGGCGCGCGACTCCAGGCTCAAGATCTTCTCCGGCACCGCCAACCGCCCGCTCGCGCAGGTGGGGTTCCTGTCCCGCCGCTCCCTGTCCCCTGTCCCCGAAAAGAAAATAAAAAAGCACCTTTTTATCCGATTTGTAGCAGTATGGGGTCTCATTCGTACTGGTTGGACAAGAATAATTTCAGAATTCAATAATAATTTCTTGATTGCATTTGAGTTCGGCCCTTTTTAGATGACGAAAGGGAAAGGGGTTTGCGCCGGCGCCGCAGTTGCAATGCTGCCACTGAAGAATATACACCCAAAACCTATCAGACGTTTACATTTTATTTTGTGATTGTCTGTATGTGCCATCATTCAATGCGTTGACGAAGACGAATACGACCTTTCTGGCCTATATACTTCTAAAATGCATGACTTTTTTTGTATTTCGTATAGGAAATTGCTTCTTATCTGGGCGTAGACCTTGGCAAGATCCTTATCAAGCGCTTTGCTGATGGAGAAATCTACGTGCAACTGCAAGAGAGTGTGAGAGGCTGCGATGTCTTCTTGGTGCAGCCCACTTGCTCTCCTGTCAATGAAAACCTCATGGAGCTCTTCATCATGATTGATGCATGTCGGCGGGCATCAGCGCGATCTATTACCGTTGTCATTCCGTACTTTGGATATGCCAGAGCAGACAGAAAGGTATGGCCAAATGATTAAACTGGCTAATTGCTTTTGGAAAAAGTTGGTGTGTTGTTATAACCAAGCTGTGAAGTACCAGATTTATTTAACTGGATTTGCTTCTTCCCAGCTCATGATATATAATTACAGACCCGTTCAATGAAAAAAGATATCTAATTGCCTTTTCAATTTGTTTCCTGTGTCAATGCAACTGAATGGGATATCCATATACTGAGATTTTCCTTGTAAAGATTTTCTATTCTAAGGACTTGTTTGGCGAACAAACTTCTCTTATGGATACCTTAATTTGGTTATTGTTTGGCGTACTTAATACCGACCAATCAGATGTTTAAATGGGGAGGAGTTTAAAGTTGAATATTGCCCTCAATTGGGAATATGTTCCTGCCCCCTCTATGTGATGTGTGAAAAATTGTTATGCTGAGTAATTTCTTCTGTAATGCAGGCTCAAGGACGTGAGGCAATTACTGCCAAATTGGCTGCGAATTTACTCACAGAAGCTGGCAGTGATCGTGTCATAGTATGTGATATGCATTCTGCACAAGCATTGGGATACTTTGATATTCCTGTGGACCATATATATGGACAGGTACTCTTAACAGAACAGGAAGGAACACTTCCTTTACAATGTACAAAAACTGTCTTCCCTTTCGAAGAAGTTCCTTAGCTGAACTTGAGTTGATAAACTGTTAGTGAACAGATCTTCTTTTTATGTAGCCTGTGATTCTGGATTACCTTGCTAGCAAGACAATTTCTAAGGATCTTGTAGTTGTTTCTCCTGATGTGGGTGGTGTTGTTAGAGCACGTGCATTTGCCAAGAAATTGTCTGACGCCCCTTTAGCTATTGTTGACAAAAGAAGACAGGGTCACAATCTGTCAGAGGTAAGAATCGATTTATTTGGAGTGTATCTATTCTATTTTTTCATCAGTTCTATTTGTATAACACAGTTACATGCACACGTTTCAGTTTTAGTTCTACTCTTATTACAGCATAGTGTTAAACATGTGTCCTAATAGAACTAGAAATAATATATAACCTTTTTATCACCTGATGATTAATTAGCTGGATGCTTTATTGCATTTTGCAAAGCCATCCACTTTTTTACTCCTTGACTAAGCAACGACCACATAGTTCATGAAGTGATCATGTGAAAATGGTAGATTATAATATCAAATTCCTATCTGTGACCACCTGCAGGTCATGCACTTAATTGGTGATGTGAAAGGGAAAGTTGCTATCATGGTTGATGACATGATTGACACAGCAGGTTAGCAATATTTTCTTCGTTGGTGTTGGACTAAAATTTAACATACTTTGTAGTGTGTTCTTTGTCATTTAGCCCCACTTTTTTGTTTAACGCAGGGACAATTACTAGCGGAGCAGCATTGTTAAAACAGGAGGGAGCAGAGGCTGTTTATGCTTGTTGCACACATGCTGTCCTCAGGTTTGAATTTTGATAGTTACTTGATACTTCATTGCATATAATTTTGTATTGATGTTATTAGCCTATTGCAGACAACTCACTTAATATAGTGCTTTGTTGTTGATCTATGCAAACTGAGACACGACTGGTGAAATCCTTGCATTTTTTCTTGATTCCTGCTAAGCGTAACGGTTAAGTTATACAAGTTCTAGAAACTATGTGATTCTACTTGCGGCACACATAGACGAGAAAGCTAGTATATTTTTAGACAAGAGTCTTAACAAGGTGGTCAGAAATATCAGTTTCCTAGCTAATTTTCTTTGACCATGGGTTTTCTAGTTCGGTATAGGTTTGATTTAATTTTTCAGTGAGCTTGTATTTTTTTCTTGGGGTTTCTTGATTTCCTTATTATTATTAAGGTTCCATGAAAATGAAGTTTGCAAAGTCAAAGTCTATTACTCTTTTGGTAATACAGTATATATTTAGATAAACCCCATAACATTTGTTACTAATTTGTGGAGTCCCATCTTTTTGCAACATGAGTACCAAAAAAATAAAAAAAGAAGTACACAGAATGGGCACAACAAAATAATTGTTATCAACCACTGGAATGCCAAACGGGGTATAATTGAATCCATGTCATTCATATGCTGGGCATTTTGACATCCTGTGTACTTTGATGCAGGAAGACACCTCAAGGTCAATCTTGATTCTTGCCTCTGTTGGCATGCATGCTTGACTAAACTTTACTTGAAACAAAAATGCGAGAGTAAATTTGGCCATGATAGATAATTGAATGCATGTACGATGTTCATTAATATGGTACCTCTGTAAACTTATATAAGACATTTTAGATCACTACTTTAGTGATCTAAAACATCTTATATTAGTTTACAGGAGTAGCATACAGTAGCTTCATTTCAAAAGTTACCATGACGCTGGGGTTGATTTCAGCTGTGACTATTGCTGTCTAGTATTTCCATTGTATCGCAAAAGTGAGCATACTCTCACCCTTTTCCACTAACACTGTTGATTTCGTAGCCCACCTGCAATTGAAAGGCTTTCTGGGGGCATCTTTGAGGAAGTCATAGTTACGAACTCCATCCTGCTACCAGAGGACAAATGCTTCCCTCAGCTCACGGTGCTCTCCATGGCAAACCTTGTAGCAGAAACTATCTGGCATGTTCACCGTGACGGCTCAGTGAGCAGCATCTTCCAATAACGGCGAGCATCTTCTTAAATTTGGGTGGTATAGAGAAGGCACCAGATGCTTGTGCCATTGGTGTAGGAATCGATTTTCGTACTTGTACTGGATGATCAATTTTCTGTCAACACCTACTAAAGGGTGTTTAGTTTCTAACCTCCGTCTTGACCGGATGATCAAAAATACGACTTATGTCTATCTAGCTATTTGAAGGAATTTATATTGCCAGAATGTCCAATTGGCCATTGTCAAAGGAATGGCAGATTGGTTATCGCCAAGGATCTATGCTTTGTGTTTGTCCATTTTTATTTTGAGCGATTGTTGCATAGTTAGAGTTTCGTTTCCGTTATATGTATATTCGTGTGGCCACTCGCCTCTCTCATTTTTGAGTAAAAAGAGAACATAAAAATATATATTTTGTGGGATCATGAACAGAGTTTGACATGAAAAAGGGCTTCACAGTACAGTACGAAGGTATGCTAGCCGCCAACAACACTATGTTGCGGAGGGAGTGCGACATAACAAAATGTCTGTCTGCGCACCTTCATGCTGAACCGAGTGACCAATTCCTGCTGGACGCATGAGGCTCGCTGCCCTGCAAACGTTAGAGGCTGACCCAACGCTGTGGATGCTAGCAGCTGTCCAGGATTGCGGTTGTGCTGGCTTTGGCAATGTTCCTGTGGTATGAGTGCTACGAGTGAGGTCGCTACGTAGATAATGAACGATGGGCGTCACGTGTTCTAATCTCTTTGAACGTCATCGTGCTTCAGCTTCTTGGCCCGAGGAGATACAAGCCAGCGGAGAGGCCATTGATTCCAGATGCCCCCTTTTCCTATCCGACCTACACGTAGCTTGCCCATAAAACTTGCCTTTACAGCTCCCTCTATTTCTCCGGCTACAGTTCTCACATAGTTAGATAAATTTGGTCATGTTGACTTGCTCCAGGTAACATACTACTATTTATCATGGAGGCTGCCGGCTAGACAACCACTCTCACATTGAGATCACAATGATGCTCTGATGTACTAGACCGTAACTCACGATTTTTGTGAGTCACCAACCATTAGTGAGTTGTCCATACGGTAGGTCTATGGCCCTCTGCAGGTTCACCTTGTTAATGGTTGTTTTTTGCTTGTTGCACACAACATCATGCTTGAATTTTTATAGCTACTTTATTGCTTATAATATACTCCCTCCGTTCCAAAATAGATGACCCAATTTTATATTAACTTTAGTACAAAATTGGGTCATCTATTTTGAAACGGAGGGAGTAGTATTGATGTTATTAGCCTACTGCAGACAACACACACAATATAGTGTTTTTTGTTGTGTCTGTCCTATGACTATGAAAATTGAGACATCCTAGCATTTGTTGTTGATTTCTGCTAAGTGTATCTGTTTAGATATATACAAGATATTCTACATGTGGCGTACTTAAGAGAAGGTGTAATATTTCTAGACGAGAGTCTTAACAAGGTGGCCGGAAAGTAGCAGCCGCCTAGCTAATTTTCTTTGATCACAAATTTTCTAGTTCGGCATGTGATTTTACTTTCTAGTGAGTCTGTTTTTGCTGGGGTTTCTCGGTTTCCTTATTATTATGTACTCCCTCTGTAAACTAATATAGATCTTTTAGATGACTAAAGTGTTCTAGATCAGTAATTTAGTGATCTATAAAAGATCTTATATTAGTTTACGGAGGAAGTATTAAAGTTTCTGTGAAAATGAAGTTTGCAAAGTCTGTCACTCTTTTGGTAAGACGTAAATTTAGATACACCCTCGCAGATCAGTTATCGTAATTTATGGAATCCATTTTTTTTTGCGGGTGTGGAATCCATTATTTTGCAACTTGAATAAGAAATAAAAAAATACTCCCTCCGTCCCATAATGAAAGCGTCTTACGTTATGGGATGGAGGGAGTATGTACATAGAAGGGGCAAAATGAACAAAAAAGTTATACACCACTGGAATGCCAAACGGAGTATAACTGAATCTGAGTCATTCATATGTTGTCCTGGGCATTTTGAAACCCTGTGTATTTTGACGCACGAAGAGAACTAGGCCCAGTCTTGATTTTTATCACCCTTGCACGCACGATTGACTAAAGTTATACTTGAAACAAAAATGCCTAAGTAAAGTTGGCCATATTAAATAACTTCCGTCTAATATTTGGTAACATGGTACTCCCTCCGTAAACAAATGTAAGAGCATTTAGATCACTACTTTAGTGATCTAAACGCTCTTATATTTCTTTACAGAGGGAGTAACATACAACAGCTTGGTTTCAAAAGTTATCATGATGCTGGGGATTTATTTCATTTGCCACCATTGATGTCTTTGTGTTCTTCATTGTTTTGTGCACTAACATACTGCAAAAGTTAGCATACTATCACCTTTTTTCCCGTTAACGCCATTGACATTGCAGCCCACCTGCAACCGAAAGGCTTTCCGGAGGCATATTTGAGGAAGTTATAGTGACGAACTCCATCCTGCTGCCAGAGGACAAATGCTTCCCTCGGATGATGGTGCTCTCCATGGCCAACCTTGTAGCAGACACTATTTGGCATGTTCACCACGACGGCTCAGTGAGCAGCATCTTCCAATAAAGGCAAGCATCTTCTTACATTTGGGTGGTATAGAGACGGCACCAGATCCTTGTGCCATTGGTGTAGGAATCAAGTTTTGGTGAAATGACAAATAAAGTTGCATTGCCGTGCAGGCATTGTACTTGTACCGGATGATCAATTTTGCGTCAACACCTAGTGAAGGGTGTTTAGTTTCTGATCCGTGTCTTGACATAAGCTTTCTTGTAGTCGAAAAATATGACTCATGGCACTTATTCAAAAGAATTGATACTGTCGGAATGTCCCCCTTTGCCACCGACCATGGAATGACAAATTGGTTACCGCCAAAGATCTATGCTTTGCGTTTGTCCTTTTTATTTTGAGCGATTGTTCTAGAGTCCGTGTTTCATGTTTCGGTCCATTGTATATATTCATTTGGCCACTACCTCTCTCATTTCTAAGTAAAGTAAAGAAATAATTTGTGGGATCATGAACTGATTTTGACATGAAAAAGGGATTCACTTAACAATATGAAGGTATGTTAGCTGCCAACATAGGGCATCCATTAGGAAAGTGGCTCCTCTAGCTTGATTACAACGAGGAGCTTTGCGGGGGGAAGACACTCCAAGCATTGAGAAAACCATCAAGTTGAGGCCGGATTGTCGAATGACCCCGGAAGTTTGGAAGGTTCTTGGCAGTTGCTGCTGAAGCCAGTGCGTGAATGACTGAAAAAAGTGGTGTCTTGGAGATTTAAGTGGCCAATTCCTGCTGGACGCATCAGATCAAAATGGTTACTTGCTACCTAGCAACCGTTAGAGGCTGACACACTGCTGTCTCTAGCTCGTTGTGGATCCTTAGCAGCTGCCCAGGAGTGTGGTTGTGTTGGATTTGCCCATGTTCTCGTGGCATCGACATTACGAGTGAGGCTGTGACATAGATAATGAACGATAGGCATCGTGTGCTCTGTTCTCTTGAACGTTACCATGCTTGAGTATGGCTATGGTTCATTGTCATGAAGCGTACCCCGTGGAGATGCAAGCCAGCCGAGAGGCCATTGATTCCAGATGTCTCCTTTTCCTATCCGACCTACATGAACTTGCCCGTGAAACTTGCCTTTTTAGTTCCCTCTACTTCTCTGGCTACACCTCACATAGTTAGATAAATTCTGTCACCCACAAAAAGAAAAGAAAAGATGAATTTTGTCATGTTGGCTTGCTCCAAGTAACATACTACTATTTATCATGGAGGCCATCGGCTAGACAACCACTCTCACATTGAGATCACAATGATGCTCAAATGTACTAGATCATAACTCATGATTTATGTTAGTCACCAGCCATTAGGTGAGCTGTCCATAAGGCAGGTCTATGGCCCTCCACAAGTTCACCTTGGTAGACTGTTTGTGCTTATCGCACACATGCTGTCGTTATGTTTGAATTTCTGCTAACACTACTGGAATCATGAACTTTGCCGTCATCTGCTTCTTTGCCGTCAGCTAGACAACCACTCTCACGACAAACCTGACGGCAAAGATGCAGCTGACGGCAAAGAAGGTGTTTGCCGTCAGCTAGCTGGCGGCATAGAACCTGTGCCGTCAGCTAGCGAACAGCAAAGAGGCAGGGTTGGCCGATAGGGGTGGCAGCTAACGGCCACTATTTTTGCCGTCCGCTAGCTGACGACAAAGAAAATGGCCGTTCTAGCGTCCGTTAGCTAGGCTCTTTGCCGTCAGCTAGCAGACGGCAAAGAGCCTAGCCCTATATGTATCAAAACGCCCTCGCGCCCTGTGCCCCTCTCTCTCCCTCTCCCCACATCCCAACCCCGTGCCGTCGCCCCGCCCCAGCCGCCTCCCTCGCCGCCGCCCCGCCCCGCCTCGGCCGCTGCGACAGGCCCCGCCGCCCCGCCTTGCCGCCCCGCCGCCTTGCCTCACTGCCCTGGCCGCTCCGCCCCGCCTCGCCGCCCCGGCCGCTCCAAGGTGAGATATTTTCAATTTTTTTCAATTTTTTAGATTTAGTTTAATTAGGTTTAGTATAATTTAGTTTAGGTTTTGTTCAGTTCAGTTAGTTTACTATAGGTTTAGTTTAGTTTAGTTTAGTTAGTTTAGTTTAGTTTAGTTAGTTTAGTTTAGGTTTAGTTAGTTTAGTTTAGGTTTAGTTTAGTTTAGGTTTAGTTTAGTTAGTTTACTTTAGGTTAAGTTTCTGGTTTATTTTGAACATGTGAAATTTATTGTTATTTTTTCAGTTCAAGCATTTATTCCCGCTTCCACGTCGACGATGCCTATCCCGCATCCTCGTCGTCGACTCGATGGAGGAGGCCTGCTTGATCAGAGGGGCCATGTTCGAGACTGGGCTCCCCCGGGATGGTACTGGGAGGTTCTACCTTCCGGGGGGCGCAGGTTGGTGAGGAGTCAGCCCGTCGTTGACCCGATCCTTGTTTGGTGGCGGTCACGTGGGCCAGTGA